GGCTTACTATATGGAGATGCAAATGTTGCTTAAGGAGTTTGATATTTATGAGGCTGAGGAGGCTACAATGGCTCGTTTCTTAAGAGGACTTAAGAAGAAGATTGCCGAACGACTGGATCTTCAATTTTATGAGGATTTAGAAGGGATGGTGCAAATAGCCATAAAGATTGAGAAACATCTCCAAAAGGAAGTCTACAAGGTATACTAAATGTAAACCAATTTCAAAGATTGATCTATCTTTCCAGACGGTTAGTTTACCTACTGAATCTAAGCCTATTGTTGAGGTAGAATGTGATAAAATTCAAAAAGACATAGTTCGTGACCTAGTGCCAATGTATGCTAATAGTGTTTTACTTAGTAGGCAACTAGATTGCAAAGAATTGTTTGATTGTAATACTTCTACTATTGTAACACCGGCTTCTAAGGAAGCATATGATGTTGTGTGTATGTTAGGGAAAAAGGCGCATGAGGTCGAGACAAAAGCATGTGAATTGTTTGAAAATGAATGTTGTGTGAAAGAGACGCATGAGATTAGTCTATGGCCTAAAGAGAAAAATGAGAGAAAAGCCAAGAATGTAAGCTTGTTTGAAAAAGTTTGTGATGCCAACTATGTTTTATTTTCAAAACAAAAAATTCTTGATCTTTTGTACAAAGACACTTGTTATCTAGGGGAGAGCTTAAACTATGTTGGTATAGTGTTTCCCCTTGAATTTTTATAGGAGGCTAGAACACTCATTGAGAAGATTGAACGAAAGAATGCTTCCAAAGTACACAATGGCAGCCAATATGTGGTTTACAAGGCTGAAACATCTCGTGAGAACCAAAAGTCCAAATTTGTTTCTAAATTCATTCATGGCAAGAAGCATACAATGTTCAAACCGTCTTATTGGGTTTGGAGACACTATTGGAAGGATCGATTTTCTGTTGGAAAGAAGTTGAAGAGGAACCCATGTAGAGATATACACTTGACTTTTGATGATTTTAAGAGTGCTATACACGGCGAGTTTGATGAAGATTACATATTCAATGCTGCTGATTTCTGTCCATTTGATGTAGGAGATCTTTTGATTCGAGGACGAATCCTTTTGAAGAAAGGGAGGATGATATGAACCAAAGTGTCTTAGTCCTCAAGATTTAAAGGAAGTTGCTGGAGAATTCTATGTCCAAGTTGACAACAAAGTGGAGTTGCATTAAATCCACTCTAGTATCATTTATGGCAACCTCAAGTTGCGTTGAATGAAGTCAAGAACAAGTCCAACTTCATTTACTACAAAATCAAGTTGCATTAATTGAAATCTAAGTTGAACTCAAGATGCATTAAACGAACAAGACTTCAAAGTAGTTCAAAATCCAGTTCATTCACTCTTTGAAGGTTACAACTTCTTGGTTTTATGGTGGAGGAGTTTCATTCTCGGATTTAAAGCATGTTTAATTGTATTTTCAGTTTTAAACATTTCATTTATGAGTTTTAAGTTACACTTGAGTTAGTGGTGGTGATGGTATTGATGTAGTAGGGAGTTACAACCTTTACAATTCTTTAATGTTACTTGAAAGGTTGTTTTGGAGGCTATAAATAGCCTAGCTTGTTCCTTTGGAAAAACAGATTTGAGATTTGAGTTTTAAGATAATGAAATTTAAGCTTATTGAGCCATGAGCTTTTCCTTTGCATTTCTTGTGTTTTAGAATTGCATGCTAGAATCATTCAAGTAGCCTTGATCAAGCGAACTCGTGGAAAGATTCGAATCTTGAGTTTTGAAACAAGTTTTCTCTACTCTTGATCTTGATCATCAAGGTAAATTCGTTCTAACTTCTTCCTTGGGTTGAAATCATCTTGATTTGGGGGTTTTAGTATTTGTGATCTAGGGGTTTGCATAACCATAAGGGTTCTTAAATCCAATTGGCTATTGTTTTCTTATCACCCTGTCACCTAGATCGCGCTCAGTAGCATCAGTAGCACGTCTCCAGTGCTGGATTTTGTGGACAGTGGCATTCCGATGGTTTTTTGTGGTGACCCACACCCAAACGTAGCCCAATTCGTGTTACCCACCCTTGTACGAAGCTGTTTTATGATGCCCAACCCCTTCGGCGGACCCACTCTTAACAAAAGTGCGTTCGGTGTGAGTTAGTAAGTAATTACTCGCTTAAACCCGCTGTTAGATGGTTTGAGTGGTTTTGTTCGGATTCTAACCTGAAACGTAATCTCATTTGTTTTAGGAACTTTTCAGCGAAGCTTAGGAGTGTTAGGTTCTTTGCTGTAAGTAGTTTCTTACTTGAGGGATTGGTTGTTGTGTGCTGATATGATATGGTTGTTTGCTCATGTGCCTATGTGTGGTATTTGCATGATTGGTTGTCATTGTTATCATTTCGTAAAAGTCATTGTTTATAAAACTGTTGATATATCTTAGGAAAATTATGTGGTTGTGTGAATAAATTGTAACCAAGTAATTTTGGATGGCTATGTTTGAATAGTTGTTGTGTCTTAGTTGGTTTTCATGATGAAAATTGTATACTGGTACTATAATCTGTTGTTTCGGAAGCATATTGAATATTTGTGAGAAATCGGTTGTGTTTGATGTATGCTAGGTATCTATTGATTATATTTTGGTTAAGTTGTTGGTTGTGCCTCTTCTGTGAACCGTGACTGTTGGAGCTATTGGATCATGCTGGACTATTTTAAATTGATTGGTATCTTCGTAAGAACATTTTGGTGTATCGCATATTGGATTATTATGAAATTATTGGTGCATGAGGCATGGCGTAGAGCAAGTAGGATTCTTGTGAGAGTTTTAAGATATAATGAAGTGGGTGGATGAGTAACAAGGCCAGAGGGTTGGCACGCCATTAGTTGGGTATCGAGGCTCCAGCTACAAAGTTCGGGGATCGATACCCCAACTTTGGTAGAGATGAGTGTCGAGGCTCCGGGTACAAAGGTCGGGGTCGGCACAGTGATTCTATTGATGAGTAGTGTTGGGTCTTGATGTGGTGGCGGTTAAGGACCAACATGCCTAGTAGACGTTGAGGCCTTGAGGATAAATGCCAAAGATCGATGCACAGTTCGAGGACTTGGCCATGTGTGGTCAAGGGTGGAACGCCAAGCGCTGTAGAGAAGTGTTGATGCTTTGACTATACGGGGTCAAGGGTCCGTACAACTTGAAGGAGTAAGTCTTGGAGGTAAAGGAAAGAGAACTAGTGAGTTTAGAAAATCTCGATGCCTTGGCTATGCGAGGCCAAGGTTCGGTACGACTCAAAGGAGAAAGTCATAGAGAAACAGGAAAGAGTACTAGTGAGTTGAGATGCGATGGTGTATATGCATGTAGGTTGCATGTTTAGATGTATGTTTATTTTCTTATTATGTAAAGTATGATGAACTGATAAACATGCCGTTTGAACCTCTTTGTGGTAAGCATGTTGTTTGTGCGTAACCTTCAGGTATGGACTGTTTACTAAGTACTGTGGTTGTACTCATCCCTCTTTTTCTCCTCCAGTTTTGCAAGTATCGAGCAAACTCTTGGGACGGTGATGGCGAGGAGGAGACTTAACTAGAGAGACCATTTAACACTGCGTTGTTAAGTTTCAATTTGAATATGATAGTTATAGTTGTTTATTTGTAGCTTGAGTCTGTTATTAGATTAATAAATTATTTTGTTAAGTTCCTTATTTAGGGGATGTTTTAGGATTGACAGTTCGTTATTCTTAGAATATTAATTTTGTTTAGCTACTTGAACTATGGTGATGTAATCTGTTGAGGATATTTATCAATATAATACATTTGTTCAAGTTGAACTTGAGTTAGCTTTTGCTTCGCTGCTATTTGTGAAAGTTAGATTCGTGCAGTGAATGGTTTATGATCAATGAAGATTATTTCATTGAGAAGTTTTATAAGGTTGGATTGTTATTAAATTATTAAGTGTGAAGAATTTGAGTTTCGTTAGAACTTTAGTGGTGTTTGGTTTGTTTAGTGCAAGTTTTTGTAAGTGTTATTATTCAGAGTAGCGCAGCGGAAGCGTGGTGAGAGTTTGTCATAGTTTGTATGTGTAACACCCCGCGTTCTCTAGCTTGTTTATTTTAAGATATAAATCGAGTCTTTGGATTTTTCCCTGGAGCTGATCATTTAAATTCTTGGATTTTCTATTTTGGAGTTCTAATTTTGGGTAAATTAGAATTAAGTTTATTTTCGTTGGATTAAGATAAATTAAGTTTTCGAATTTTTGAGAGGAAATGTTATTTAAATCTGAATTCAAAATTTTAGAAATTTAATTTTTCTATTTTAGATCTTTATTCTCGGGTTTTAAAAATTAACTTAATCTTTTAAATAAATTTCCCAAACCATTTTAAATGAGTTATCTTTTTGGAAAAGAATAGGAAAATCCCCCGTTTACTTTTAGCCTATCTTTGTTGGTTTATTTTTGGATTATTTTGTTTGGAGAAAAAAAAGAAAACAAAGGAAAACAAATCAAAAACCCTAGCCCCCATCTTCTTCTTCTCCTCTTTCTTCCCCAACACTCCTACCGCCCCCCACCCCACCCAGTTTTTCCTGCAGCCAGTGATCCTCCAGCAGCAACCGAATGACAACACGAAACTGTGAATTTGCGACAGGATTCTTTGATCTACAACAACTCACGAGCCCGAGCGTCTGCAGCAGTTGCGATGGATTCCTCCGGTGAAATCTGCAGCACCGACGCCTAATAACCACCGGCAATGAAGCAGACCACGCCGGCATTCCTCGAACAGCAGCAGTGTCGATCTTCAACAGCGGCGCAACCTCGTTCATGCTTGATTTCTAGTATCGATTGTAGAAGTACGAGACTTCGACCACGGATACGACGGTGCTGCAGCTTCAACCGCGTCCTACTAGCGGCGTCTTAGACAGATCTGTCGAACCCACGGTGGCCAGAACTCATGTCGACGAGCAGCGGCTCTCGGAACCCCGCGACAGCCCTCCCCGTGAACAATAGTGGATTCGTGAAGATTTCTTCATTTCGACGACTTTTGTCGGTGACCCACACTTGGATGAAGTTGATTTCATGGTGCCCACCTCCTTCGACATTTATTAGGCACTTACCCAGACATTGTTGGCATTGGATTTACAAGCCCCAACATGTTCGCTATCTTTCATCGAGGTTCAATGGGTTTCGAGCCAACGCAAATGTTAGGAGCTTGTAGGCGCGATGAAGTAGTACCAGAGGTGCGTTGTTGTTTTTCATTACTCTAAACTTGTATGTCCAGTTTTATTAATCGATGCAGGCTTTGTGTCTTGTTGTGCTTGACTCTGGAAATGATCCTATTATATTTGTCAAGGTTGGACTTGGCTTTCTTAATTGTTGACTATTGTTGCTAAACTAGATTAGTTGTATTAACTAGAATGTTGTGAGGCACTCGTTGGATCTTATGTTTTATGAGTGTGACTGGTGTGTCGATTTTATCGGATATGTTGATTAATCCTTTATGCTATTTCTAGTTTGATAATATGTACTGGCTTGTCGTGGGTTAGTGTTATGGAATGATTTTTGGACATAAAGCATGTATTATACTTGTCGGTTAAAATATGTTGGCTTTGCTTCATCTTTTGGCATGATGGAAAGTGGTGTGTTGTTGCTAAAGATGTGAGTAGAATGCCTAATATTATGGAAAGACTAATTGTGGTAACATTTGACTTGATATAAACATGTTGGATTTTCTTCGTGTGACTAGCATGATGTGATGACTTGTGCTATGATCCTTATTGACAACTAGGAAGGGGATGTCAATGTTGGTTTGCTATGAAAAGGATATTGGATGACTGTTAGGGCCCCAAGTGAAAAAGGTCGGGGCCGATACGTTACTATTGGGTGTTGAGGCTCCGGGTACAAAACGTCGGGGGTCGGCATGATGAGTCTTTTTTATGATGAGTAATGGGTCTTGAAGTGGTGGCGGTCAAGGACCAATACGCTAAGTAGTCGTCCAGGCTTTGGGTACAAAAGTTCAATGGTCGATGCACAGTTCGAGGCCTCAGGGGCAAATGGTCGAGGCTGTTACGTCACTACTGGGTGTCG